GCATATGGAGAAGAGAACTGACATATATCATCATTCAGATACAATAAATTATGTCTCTACTGGAATTCAGTTGTTGGAAACCATCCTACCTCTTAATGTTGTTGTTCATTCGTTTAGTCATTTCCGACTCTTCATGACCTCATGGACCAGCCCATGCCAGAGCTCCTTGTCGGCCGTCACCACCCCCAGCTCCTTCAAGGTCAAGTCAGTTACTTCAAGGATGCCATCCATCCATCTTGCCCTTGGTCGGCCCCTCTTCCTTTTTCCTTCCATTTTCCCCAGCATAATTGTCTTCTCTTAGCTTTCTTTTCTTCTCATGATATGGCCAAAGTACTTCATCTTGGCATCTACTATCCTTCCTTCCAATGAGCAGTCGGGCTTTATTTCCTGAAGTATGGACTGGTTGGATCTTCTGGCGGTCCAAGGCACTCTCAGAACCTTTCTCCAACACCACAATTCAAAAGCATCTAACTTACTTTGCTCAGCCTTCCATATGGTCCAGCTCTCACATCCGTAGGTGATTGTGGGGAATACCATTGCTTTAAATATGTGGATATTCATTGCCAGTGTGATGTTTCTACTCTTCACTATTTTATCGAGATTGGACATTKCTCTCCTCCCAAGAAGTTACCATCTCCTGATTTCCTGGCTGCAGTCTGCATCTTTGCACCTAGAAATACAAAGTCTGTCACTGCCTCCACGTTTTCTCCCTCTATTTCCCAGTTGTCAATCAGTCTTGTTGCCATAATCTTGGGTTTTTTGATGTTTAACTGTAACCCAGCTTTTGCACTTTCTTCTTTCACCTTGATTAGAAGACTCCTAAGCGCCCCCTCGCTTTCGGCCATCAAAGTGGTGTCATCTGCATATCTAAGATTGTTTCTTCCAGCAATTTTTACCCCAGCCTTGCATTTGTCAAGCCCCGCACATCGCATGATGTGTTCTGCATACAAGTTGAATAGGTTGCATAGTTCAATTTCTTTAGAAAGATAAATTACACAAATCTAATAGCCTGCCCCAACTAGAGTTGAACCATTGAAACAATGGGATTCAAATATATGTTGACTCACCAGTTAGCAATTGATTAAATTTTAGCTAAAATGGGCATATATGCTTTAGTTCCTTGATTTATTTGTTTCACAACTTTGTGTACATAATTTTAATTACCATAGAAATTTGGCAACACATGTGATGCACTAAATACAGATTGTCTGTTTAGAAGAAGATGCTGACAGAAGGTCAGAAAGTCTTCAGAAAACTCCTTCTGACTATGAACAATCTCTGTCCAGGAGAGAAGCTCCCTAAGAGTGAGTTTTATCTGCTTTTTCATATATATGTCCAAAGTGTGTGAGAACTCCAGGAAAACTCCAGGACATTCCCAACTTTGGTTAATGCAGGACAGGGCCATGTTGAGCAGCCTTGCTGCATATTAGGGCAAATCAGCCTTGCACATCATCTGGATGCCACAAAGTCTATTCTCCCTCACCTCATTTGGCCCATGTAAATGGGCCCTAAGAGTGCATTTACACTGTAAAATTAACACTGTTTGACATCACTTTAGGTATTATGGCATCCTGGAAATTGTAATGTTAAAATACCTTTACTATTCTCTGTGAAAGAGTACTAGTGCCTCACCGAACTACAGGTCCCAAGATTCCATAATGTTGAGCCATGGCAGTTCAGATCGTGAGAAGCTGCATTAATTTTGCAATGTAGATGCACCCTAGGATGGAACAGAACACCCAAATTGTCTTAATTTTTTTTTTTTTACAAATATGGATGTGTTTTTAGCAATTGCTTTAGAGACTTTTTAATCCAGATTTCTAAGGAGGATGTTTATGTGTGCAGGGGAGCATAATATGTGGGTATCTATCATTTATTTATCATTGATCTATCTCCTAGATGATACCTAATATGCTATCAATTGGTAAAAAAAAACCCCTACAGTATAATGTAATACACCAAGTTGAAGCATTTGAAACTTCTTTTCTCTGAATGTATAGGACAGAATGGAACAAAGTCAATTACTGACTGTAATTAAGAAGTGGATGCATTCAAACTGTAGAGAGCAGTAGCAGTCTTCTTGAAACTGTCTCGTAACTCTGAAGATTACACAGAAAGGGACTTGAACTGTATCTCAAATAGAGAGTATACTGAATGAATTCACTTCTCCCTATTCTATGATCTACTTTAGCTGATATATTCATCCATCACCGATTGTAGATGATTATTACAAACAGCACATTAAAACAAAGGCACTTTCAAAACGAATGTTCCTTTCGTCTTGTTAGCACTGAAGTATCTCTTTTACATATCATAAGGGTACAAATGTTTATGCAATATTGCAATACTTGTGTTTTAATAAAGCTGAAATTTACTCAACGGAAGAGTGAACTATGTTACTTCCTTCTTAAGCCTTCAAAATAAAGTCATTTTAATTATGTGTGTTGCTTTTACTTTGAAAGTATTATTTCTTGTAATAATTTAAGTGGTGGTTTGTTTGTACTGGAAGAGATGTACTCGATTGGATTGACCATTTTGTTTAGTCTAATTCATGTCTCAATGCGCATTAATACATCTGCAGTGTAATTTATTTTTTTAAAAAACCCTGAAACTTGACCAAAATGGAAATGTGTAAACTTGAAAAGCTCTATCAGTTAATAACTTTTACACTGTTGCTGAAACAGGAACACTCACAAAAGTTCCACATCATGTCAAAAGTGTTTCTTGTTTCAGGATGTCACCATTCTATAAATCACAATGAAAGCTAATGCTATGCAGACTTTTCACACTCATAGAATATCATGGAATCTTTTTATTTATACTTAATCACTACCAACATTTATATATTTTAGGTCTTAAAAATTATGTGAACCGATAGCTGTTCTAAGATTTACACAGGAATCTATTTTGGAAGGTCACATAATTGATGTATTGAAGTGACTATTTCTTTTCTAGAAATCTTATGTGTAGAATTATAAACATTGCTTATTCTGTTGTTTTGCAAAGTACCGTTAATTATTGGAAAATGCATGTATGCTGATGATGTGCATATTTACACAGAAAGAATTCCTTATCTGTTCAGTGGGGTTTATTCCCACTTAACTATAGTTCTAACTTCTTCAAACAAGAGCAGAGGAGATTCTGGGGTAATAATGGCAAAGGGCTATTCTGGTTTAGAGGTGCAACTCTATGCCTATTTCTTTTCACATGTAGAATTCTGTAATCTTGTTTCCTCATCTGAGTTATAGCTATTACTTATTCTTGAGCCAAATTGTGGGAGGGTTTCTCGAGCCTTTATTCTCCATATTACCTAACGCTTTAAGTTTATAGAGATAAAGATGTTGGTAACTGTTTTCAAATAATGTTTTTGGAATATAACCAGGGTCACTTGGATGGGAAATTGCCAATGAATGTCAGGATCTTTAGGCTATATTTCAGAGGAAGGATTTGGCAAAGCCACATCTGAGTATTCATAGTGTCACCATTAGTCAGCAAGTGATTGGAAATGTACACACACACTTCCATTTTATAAAGCTAATTTGACTGTCATAACACTCAAATCTTAATTGTGGTATACCTTTAGGGTTGAAAAGTGGAATGTTGTTTGTATAATAAAAAGTGAGCATATAGTACTTTCTAGCATTTCTATCTATGACATGAGTCATTATCTGGATATCCTGTTGAATCAAAGCAAGGAAACTAGTGAAAGATCTTTCTCAGGCCCCTTCTACAGTGCCATATAAAATGCAGATCATCTGCTTTGAACTGGATTATATCACAGTGTAGAAGGGGCCTTAGGTACCGTAAGGTTTTTGGGTTATTTTTGGCAGTAGTCATCATCCTTGGTCCTCCAGATAATTTGCATTACAATTCCAGAACCCTAGACCATTGGTCAGGCTGGCCAACACTTCTGAAAATTGAGATCTAAAGCATATTGGGGCTCAAAGTTGAAATCTAGACTCAAATCTAAGACTATAAAATAATTACACTGACCCCTCACCCCCTAATAAGCAATAGAAGCTGTCAATCTAGTAGCAAAAGACACTTAAAAACATATTTTATTGTTATATTGTTCAGTGTATAGAATACATTAACATGTACTTTAACTCTGGGGCCTCGAGTCCCTTTGGTGCTGCCCTGAGTCCCTTCAGGGAGAGTGGGTGGGGTATAAATAAAGCATATAATTATTAGCTTATTATTACTGTTCTAAAGGGGAAGGGGACTTAATATAAAATGAACAAATAAAGTATATATATTTGTACTAACTACAGTAAGATTTGAAAACCATGTAACTAAAGAACAACGCAGAACAATGAAATATATATATATATATATATATATATATATATATATATATATATATATATATTCCTGACAGATTTGAGAAGTCATTTTGCTTAAGAATTTAATGTTTATGATATTCATCTTTGTAGTTCTCAACATCTCTAGCCATTAGCTATGTATGATTGAGGCTTCTGGGAGCTGCAGCCCAAAAGCATTAAAGCTTCTGGTTTGGAATAATATGAAAGCAAAATTTTGGACAAATTGTTAACAGGTGATGCAAGATAATCAAAACTTGTTTTACCTCTTTTAAATTTTGTTCAATATTTTTCCTGAACCTCCAAATTTGCCTAGATATTTCACTTTTAATGCAAATCTATAGACTCGTTTCATTTATTTGTTCTAAAAAATACAGTAGTGGAGTGTACATAGCCTATCCAACTATGCCAAAACAGGTTGGTGTGGATTAATAGTGAGAACTAGAGAGTCATGAAAATATGTTTGAAAATATTTCTATCAATATTTTCTATTAGTTTTTACTATATTCTGTTCAAAGTGTGCTTTTGCTTCTGTCTGAATTTGTAAGAAATTGAGTAAGAAAAGCAGTATACTGTATATATTTGTGAAATAATTAGCATCATTGGAAGATGCTATCCAAATTGCTCTCTATCAAACTTAAAGTCTATATTATTAACTTCTGTTTTTTTTCTTTCGTTTAGATCACAACAGTATCAGGAAATGAGATACTTCTTCAATCAGATATTGACTTTGTCATTTTAGAATGGTTCCATGCTATCAAAAATGCAATTGAGAGATTGGTATGTATTTGTCTTAGCTGTAACAATCCTTTTGCACTTGCTTTTCAGTGATTCAGTCTTCATGTGCTTTGGCAGCTTATATTTTAGAACAAGAATAGATGTTAGAAGAGGAAACATTATTTTTTGAAAAAAAATCATACATACATTTTATTAATATATAATTTGGTGTCTAATTTAGTTTTTAAGAGGTCACAAAAATAGGATGCCTAGATTCTGATTTGATCTTTTTCTGAAATAGAATGATACAACTATTGTTGTGATATAATGACATTAGCAATTTACTCTGTACAAGCACACAAGTGCTTAAGATCTAATAAATCCTTACTTTTTCTATTTATACAATCTTTGATAGGACTATTAATACATACGAATCTTTTATGCATTCTCCTTTATTATTTTGTCAGAATAATACTAGCAAATATTATTTTATATGTGATTGCTGTTATTTCTCTTCTGCTCTCTGGTCTTTTACCGTTGCATTTTCTGACAGCCATTTTAATTGTTCCCCCTTCCAGTTTCTGTTTATTTCTTCTCCTATTCACCACACATTGTATAAATTCCACATTTTCTATTTTCTAATTATGCTACATGTGTAGAATATATATTCTTTTTGGTTTGTGACACAATTGTTCTCTGGATTTTTAATTAGACCTTGCTGAGACCGTTGGCATTTTAAAGTGTGATCTTCTTTTAAAGCACTAATGGGCAATTGTATAAACTAGAAATTATAACATACTTTAAAAGTGAGATTGCTATACCAGTACTGCAGGATTGTAATATTTACTTTTTAACATTGTTGCCTCAATGTTTCAAGGCAATCTGTTTTTAATATCTTCAGAAATGATCCTAAACAGGCTTATCTAAGAGTAAATTCTATTTAATTTTACGAGAATTTAAATTGAATTTAATGTGGCTTCTTTTGAATAGGTAAATATAAAAATGACTGTCAACTGGTAGTAGAAAGACACTAGTTTAAGATGCCAGTTAGCCTGCCAATGAGATTATTCAATAGGACATACACGTTCTTAACATTATTTTTAATGGCTTACATTTGCATTGAAACACAAACATGGTACTTTCCCCATAGCACTTCCCTTATCCATTGCAATGGAATAAGCATATTCATGTTTGTATACCTGGTCACATTGAAATCTTGGCTTGTCGTTATAATAATGGGTGGAATCATATACCTCTACAACAGTTACCTATGGATCAGAGAGTTTGCAATTTCTGTTTTTTTAATACATTCGTATAGTGAAATGGTTGGAGTTATCTACCTGGGGTGGGTAACATAATAAGTTACTTTATATATTAAATCTTCAAAAGAATTCTGGCATGCAATGAAATATGCATGCTATAATTCTATATAAGGCATATATCATTCTTGCTTTCATTTATTGTGTACCTGATTACATGGGCAACCATTAATCTAAGTCTTAATCTGTTTAGATTCAACATATATAATAATCTTAAAAACACACACATAACCAATAAGATAAATTAAAATATCCTATTAATGCTGACTTGACAATATTCTCCACTATATTCACTTGTCTTATTCAGAGGTAAGTGCACATGGAGAGGAAATCTTAGAAACAAATAGTTGCAAACATTAATGCAAAAAAAAAAAAGCTTAAAAGTAGAATGTAAACAAAAGCTTTTTTTTAAAAAAAAAAATCCTTTGAATCCAAAGAAATACAGTGAAGCACATGGTCAACTTTTCCAGTGAAATTAATTAGTGTTGCAGAACTGTGCTCTGCCTATGTCATGCATCCTACATTGACGGAATTGAAAAAAAAATCTGTTCAGTATCTCCAAATGTGGGCGCTAAATATAGCAGTCTCTGTTGTTGATTATTTCTTTAAATAATAATAATAATAATAATAATAATAATAATAATAATACTTTATTTATAGCCCACCACCATCTCCCAGAGGGACTCAGGGTGGTGTACAAGCACTCAAGGTGCAAACACACAAAATACAAAAAGTAGAAAGACAATAACACAGATTAATAATGACTACCATAAACATCATAAAAAAAAACCCTGGTTAAGATCTGTAAAATGCAACAATAGCAGCAGAACAAAACACATCAGTCTCATAAAGTGCATGATTACATAATCTCTAGGTCCTCAAATCTCTAAACATGGTCAAAGGTTTTTTATTTTATTTCTTTTCTTTTCCTCCATCTCCCTTTTCCCCTCACAACACAGTTATGTACTTATATTCCACACTTTATTTGATGTAATCAACAACAAAAATGTGCACAATAAAAAATAAATTTTAAAAAAAGACATGTTTTTAATTGTATACGGAAGGCTTGGAGAGTGGGAGGGCATTCCAAAGCCAAGGGGCCACTACTGAGAAGGCTTCTCTTTCGTCCCCACTAACTACACTTGAGACAGAGGCAGGACCGAGAGGAGGGCTTCCCCTGTAGATCTTAGTGCCCACACCAGTTCATAGAAGGAGATGCGGTCCCGAAGATAGGTTGGACCCAAAGCATATAGGTCTTTATAGGTAATAACCTGCACTTTGAATTCAGCCTACAAATTCGTCGGCAGTCAGTGGAGCTGCTTTTATAGGGACATGGTATGCTCCCTATAACCAGCTCCAGTTAGTAATCTAGTTGCTGATCTTTGCACTAACTGCAGTTTCCGAGCTGTCTTCAAAGGTAGCCCCACGTAGAGTGCATTGCAACAGTCCATTTTAGATGTAACTGTCGTGGACCACCGTGGCCACATCAGGCTTTTTGAGGTACAGCCACAGCTGGTGCACAAGTTTTAATTGTCTGAAGGCTCTCCCAGCCACCGCCGACAGAATTTGCAGAATTACTTTAACTACCATAATTATTATAACATTATATTGTGCATTTTTGTATCATAATTCTCTATTTCTTTTGCCACATAGAATTGGTGAATTTCAGTTTTCTAGGTTTCAGTTGGTGTCAAAATCTTCTTAAAGCATAAATAAATCTTTATTATAGTCATAAACCAGCATAAGGATAGTGGGGTACAGTCTCATAAAATCATTATACGTTACAATCATTAGAGTCTAGACAAAAAAAAATGTTCATTTGTTATTTCTTCCCTCTTCTAGCCAAAAGACAAAAGTAACATGTCAAGGAACAAGATTGCAAGATCCTCTAGTTCTGAATTATTGAACAGTTTTGACACTGATTCTAAGGAACCAAAAGCAGAAAACAGAAGGTCTTTAAGTAAGTCCTATTGTGTATATTTAAAGATATATTAAGTTATATCAGTAATGTAGTTTGGACTACTGAATGATTTGAATGACATTTAAAGCTTCTGTGTAAGAATATAATGGTATACATTTGAGTACTTTTTTTGTAGTATATGCACATGGAACCAATGAGAGATGGTTAAAACTTGTACTTAAAGTTGATTGAAACAACTGATATATCATTTGGGCTTAAAATATAAATGGCTGTGTCCACAAGAGGTCTACATATGTCATATTGGGACATGGTTTCCATTAGCCTGTGGCTTCTCTTGAATAAGCAGGAAAATCAGAAGCCATTATTTATATAAGAAAATTACCCAAATCCACTCATGAAATGTTTTTAGATGCCTTAAAAGAATAGAAGAAAAGCCATGAAGACTTTAGTCCAAAATAACACATGCAGTGAACACTTGATGTGATGCTACTGAGGGGGCATCAGGAGAAAATTGGTCCCTACTCAGTGTTGCTGCCAACACTTGTTTTTGAGGGGATTCCCCTTCATGTAGTGGAGAGCACTACTTACTGCCTACCACCTACTATTAGATCTAGCCAGGTACCTCCAGCATTGAATGCAGCAGTGCTTGTATAACTTAAACGAAATGCAATTATAATCTGTCATACCAGAAAAAACTTCACTCAGTCCCATTATGCCGACTGAAAGCCATTGGGCCTGAGCAACATTGTCTGTTTATGGCACAGTATTCCATGGTTACCTTGACTAGGTTGAAAATAATTGTTTAGCTATCTTTTTCTAGGTAATGTTGACCAGTCCAGAACCTATGACCCACCAGCAGAACATCTTTTAAGCATATCCACATATATGATCACAAGGCCAGGGAATTGGCATAGCACCGTGCATAAAGACTCACCCAAGAAAACAAAACACAATCAGCAGGCTCCGAAATATACTTAATCCTGGACTCTGTCCTCACACTGCTGTTGAGACCATATTGTTATCTCTTTCACTGGTGTAGCAGTGGCTGGCTACCTTCAGCAATGATCTTCAGCTTCCATGGCAATTCTTTTGTCACGTGGAGATTTTGAGGAAAATTCATCCCAAGTAAGGTCAAAATCTAGCTCGGAGGCATAAGCCTCACCCCTAGGAGATGGAATTAATGATGTCTTCAAACTGCACAACTAAAACACTCTGATACTACTTTAATGGTCATGTCTTCATCTCATGAAATCTGAGGAAGAGTAGTTTAGAGAGAGGCTTAAGAATTCTCTACCAGAGATAGGCAATATAGACAATACACTGTAGATTCCTAAGTTCCTCATCAAACACATTTCATAACAGAGAACTATGGCAGGTAATGTGGTATCAAACTGCTACAACTCTATAGTGAATATTAGCTTTTCTTATGTCCTTGAAGGCATACAGATTGTATTAATTTCATTTACATTAAAATGGGCCTTTCATATCTGATGGGGATTTGATTCTAGACTCCTAGTGGTTACCAAAATCCATGAATGCTCAAGTCTCATTATGTATAATAATGTAGTTAAATGATATCCTCTATCTAAAATGGTAAGATCAACATTTGCTTTTGATTTTCATGTAAGTTCTCAACTGTAATAAAGTTCTCATTTATCTTTATGAGGAGCAAACATACAAGTTTATTTGGGGGCAGATAATTTCAAGAAATACTGGGGCCATGGTGGTGCAGTAGCTTAAACCACTAAGTTGCAGAACTTGGTGATCGAAAGGTCAGTGGTTCAAATCCACGGGACAGGGTGAGCTCCCACTGTTAGCCCCAGCTTCTGCCAAGCTAGCAGTTAGAAAACATGCAAATGTGAGTAGATCAATAGGTATTGCCTTGGTGGGAAGGTAGTGGTGCTCCATGCAGTCATATCGGCCACATGACCTAGGAGGTGTTTACAGACAATGCTAGCTCTTCAGTTTAGAAATGGAGATGAGCACCACCACCCAGGGTCGGACTTGACTAGACTTAATATCGAGGGGAAACCTTTACCTTCAATTTCAAGAAACACTGCACCATTTGGTCATCAAAATGTCCCTTGTAGCACAGCAATGTCTTTTCGACAGTATGCAACTACATGGTACTGATAACATATTTTTGGAGTTCTCCAGCTTTCAAATTCATTCAACTTCTGGAATATGAAGGGCGTAATTCACTGTACTGAGATATTGGCTAATTTAGACACAAATAAATTGACAATGTATTTAACTTCCAAATATAGAATATATGTATATGAAAGTAATTTTGTATGCATGCTTTACTGTAGTGTGTATAAGCTTCTCTAGCTTGCGCATATTAGGATGTGAGTCCCATTCCTTTTCATCTTTAGTAAAGCATCCTTTATCATTGCTTTGTTCAACTCTGTTTATAAATGGCTCATGGTGGAGAGATACAATCCCAGGGCTTCTACCTCTTTGCCATTTTTTTGGCAGAATGCCCTTAAGCTGTCTCACCATTTGTTGTTGTCTTTTATACTTCTTGGCATCATAATTCTAACATCTCTTCAATAATGATTTAGAAGACAGATCAAGTTCCCACCAATGATATAAAGTTAGCGCACAACCCAGCACTTGAACTACAAAAAGTTATGAGGAGCCCCTGTCGTGCCTAAACTTTGTTTTGGAGTCGAAACAATCCAGTGTGAAAACTGCACAGATATGAGCTTTGTGGGTGTTTGAATGGTGTAGATTGAGTTGCTTCAAAAATATGTATTTGGAATTTTCCTTTGGCCCTCTGAGACTCAGTAATTATGTGGAATTAGAAAAATGTTAGCATTCACTTACTTATTAGTAGTCAAAGCACAAACTGTATTGTCAGTTTTCTGCCTTTGGCTTTCTATGCCCTTAATGTTCACACCAGTATCGTCGCCAGAATTATTGGCAGCCAGAGCCAAAATTGCTTTAAAAAGGCATGAGAACTGGTAATGACATGTTGTTAGCAGTTAACAGGTGGTCGTTCCATTGTCCAGTTTGACTGCAGAGCACAAAGACGGTATGCACAGTATTTGCAATGAGGGCATTTCAAAAGGTGTTTTTAAAATTGAAATATTCATGTCTTTGGCTACTATCTAAAAAATGAAAGAAGTCGCTTTCCCTGTCTTCCTTTCCCCTTACACATAAACAAACCAAGAAGCTGAAATGCTAAAGAAGATTCTGATTTTAGGGAGAAAACATACATTGCACAATTCAGATCCACCCCACTTTCATTTTAAGTTCATTTGTTTAAATATAATAGTATTGGTACCACGATCTATTAAGGATACAGGATTTCCAGTGATGATTCAAACCCTGTAGTTTATTTCAGCAATGCAGCAGTCCTCAAGCTACAAATGCACTGAGAGTTCATCATTTGCTGTAGATTGGTTTCACATTTTTTCTTAATGTTAATCCTTATGTAGCTATAATCGACATATCAAACTGCAAATACTTGCTGTTCCTGGATCCTGGCTACTGTCCGTAAGAATTTGGACCAGATTATATATTGCATACAATTTTGCATTTCTAATAATAATTTGTTTTTCTAGCTAAAGTAATCTTGGAAGCTGACATTGGACAGGAGTTGCAGTCAGAAAAAAAAGGGGGGTATTTAATCTTATTACTCCATGCTGTTTGTTTGGGAGGAAAAAAGGTGCTCTCACTCAAGTGTGTACCCTGTACCTTTTCCACCAGCTAAGCAGAGGGCATTTTTTTTGAGACCAGAAATGAATGAAGATATAAAAAATTAATACTGCCCCCTTGTCCTTTCACACCCTTTTTCAGATTTGAAGAAAATATTAATGACTGAAAGAAATGCACATATATGGTTACGGAATAGTTTGGTCTTGATATTCTCTGTCTGGCATGCTGCTAACCTGTAAACAGAGTATTGATTAATGGCACTCTATGCAGATGTAGACTTTCCCTTGAGCCATTACAATTGGAAAAATAACAGGATGTATAGCAATTGCCATTCAACTTGCCTCTACACTTCTATATCTATGAACCTCATCAGATGGGGGAATTTAGTGCCCTGGGATGCTTTCATCCAATCTAATGGACCGAGCCATCACATGGCGTTGTGTGACTTCCAGCAGAGGCCCTGCCCCCAACTGGGGTGAAAGCATTGGTAGATGCTTTCCCCACAATGTGGGAGGCTGGCCTCACCAAGAGGGTGATGCTTCCCCCACTGCCCCTCCCCTTTGCCTGGTCTTTGTGATGAGGCCCTAAATTAGGCTATTGTCTGACTTAGGTTGAACCTATATATCTCCTGTGTGTAGTATACATGCTAGCAGTCACTTGGTTTATGGATGCAAAACTGTAGTGTGATTTAGTTGCATTATTTCTCAGATGACATTCCAAATGATGTTAAATTCTTGATTGCAACCAACTTTTTATTTTGTTTTATGTTAACCATCTTTAGAAGGTGTGATTTGAAGCTGTCTCCTTACCACTACCATGGTATCAAAGAACATATCACCCCACCCTTTTTAAAGAGCCTTTTTGCCCAGGAAAGGAAGGCCTTAATGTCCCCAGTGGTCATATCCTTTCCAGGGTAAATAGCAGCTTTTAGGAGGTGAAAGTGTTAATTCCCACTTGCCTGAATGCTTCATTTCCAATACTGATCCCCTCCCTCCTCTCCTATCATTTTTTCTTTAAATCAAAAGTTAGTCACATTAAATGGCATGATATTTTGGGCATGATTGTGTGAACACCGTGTCTGTCAAAACGAGGTCAACTTACTAAACGATCATTATTTTACTGTAACTTCAATTATGCTGTCTTTCCCTTCCCTTTTTATGTCATTACTATTTCTTTAAGGGTACAATCAGTTTACTAGTATTTAGTGGTATTCAGCAGCCATTACACTTTCAACAAAATAGATTGTGGTTTCTTCTCAAAAGCATGCTAACACAAAGTGATAATCTATCAGGCGTTGGGCCTTTTCAGAGAATCTAATTTATCAGAGAACCTGCAGCACAATGATAGTAAAGTGTCTCATATGAGAAGGAACAATT